TAATCCGAGGGAACAAGGCATCGTAGAGTGTACAAAGGCTTAGTAGGACTTAAGGTTACAACAGGCTTGCTGCGCGGCTTTAGGAAGTTGATGGTGGTTTGCGAAGTTGACGGTGACTTGCAGAATAGGGGCTTCGTGTTTAGGGTTTCGGGATGAGGGCATAGGGTGCAATGGCGTTTGCGCACATAGTTTAGGTTACACATGCGCTGCTCCCTGAGGAGGAACCCCCCCAGACCTGTGCCACAAACTCGGCCCAGGGTCCGGTTCAGGTCATCCCATGCGACCGTGCTTTCCTCGGGGGCGGCTTAGAAGAGGTCAGAAAAAGCGATAAAGGGGGCTATTCGGGCATCATAATTAAGGTTTGGGTTTCTTTCAAAAGGTGGCTTCAACGGCTGCCAAGCGCATCCCAAACTCTTTGCTATCCGCTAGATTAGGTCGGCGCGTAGGCGCAGGCTCCAGATGCCGTGCAAAGGCGGGGTTGCTGTTAAGGAGTTGCTCTAGGCCTAGCAAATCCCTCCTATCCGATGAGGCGGTGTGGTCTAGGTGGTTTTGCAGTACCAACAGGGCTTGGGGGCTTCTGCCATTTCCATGGTTTAAGGGTGCTTTTAGGCCTTTCAATTGGGGACTTCGCAAACAGGAACCAGGAGAGGGCAATCAAAAGGGGCGGTTCTAAGCTTGGTAGCCCAGCAACCACACAAAAAAAGCGCTGGTTTTTTTTGGGGGGGCGGTGGTTACTGTCTTATGGAACCTAGAACCCAAAAAGGGTAAAGGGTACCTGTAGGCCAACAAGTAAGGGGGTTCCAGGTTGAAATGTTCCCCCGGGGATTATAGTACCCCCTATTAGAATCCCAATTAAGGACTCTCAGTCTAGAAGGGGAACATCCCAACTAACCCTAAACCCGGTAAGAGCTTCTTTTTTTTGCTGCGGGTGTTTTTTTGTTGCGGGTGCGGGGCGCGTTTGTTTTTTGCTGCGGGCGCGGGGGCGCGGCGGGGTTGGGGAGGAAATTGCAAAACAAATGACCTGCGGGGTGGGGAGGAAGGGGGGGGGGGGGGGCGCGTTTTTTTTTTTGCTGCGGGTGCAGGGCCGCGTTTTTATTTTTGCTGCGGGTGCGGGGGCGACACGCGCCAGGTCACTCACCGGGGCGGCCCCCGAAAAAAACACCCACAGCAAAAAAGCACCCACAACAAAAAAAAAAACGGGTTCCCCCTAAACCCTAAACCGTAAACCGTAACCCTAAACCCTAAACCCTCAACCCTCAACCCTCAACCCTAAACCCTAAACCCTGACCCCAAACCCTGAAACCCTAAACCCTAAACCCTACACAAGTTCCAGGCCAGGAGGCGCCAGAGAGGCACGTGGCGGCTTGGGCCGCGGCGGTGCGGAGCACGGCGGCGGCGACCACGTGGCCCAAGCCGAAGCTCGGCGTCCTAGGTGTATAACATATGGGAACAATGTGATCGTGTAAACTGAAGCAAGGTTAAAGGGACTTAGGATTTAGGTCAAGCTTTATACGATTCTTAAGGGAGGGGGGGTTGAAGAGGGGTATGTAACCCAAGGCCAAGGCTCCCCACTACTCCCTAAGGCTCCCTAAGCTTCCCTATGGTTCCCTATGAACCGCCCTCCCTTAAGGACCGATTTACACAAGCCCAGGTTCGGCAGGGTCTGCAGGAGCTGCTCGGCAAGCGGAACTGCCATGGCAAAGCTCACCACCTCGCCACTGTTCCTGGTGCCCTCAGCTTTGCCATTTAGGGATGAAAAAGTTCAGCGTTTTCAGGAAACCCTAAAACCCCAATAACCCAAAATCTCCAGAACCCCAAAACCCCAAACCCAAAAAACCCCAAACCTCCGAAACCCCAACCTGGAACTGCAGATCAGGATCAAGCCTGTGCTAAAACCCTGGAAAGCCCCGGGCACTGCTTTGCAAAACCCAGTTCCCAACTGGTGGGAAACTCGGATACTGGTCTGGACACGGGGTTTGCTTGGAAGCTTGCTTGGGGCTGTGAGACTGGGGGTTCAGGGAATGTGGATGATGGTGTTGTGCAGCTTCCGCGTCTCATCCTGACCACCCGATACATTGGAAACCTGCGAGTCAGACTTGATCTTGAAGTGAGCACGGGATCGCATGTAGCTGGCGCTGTTTGCACTGTTCACACTTTTGGGGCATTGCCAGGGAATGAGAATAAGACGAACTTGGCTTCTTTTGGGAGCTTCTCCACGGCTCCATTTAAAAAAAAGAACAATAAAGGGCACCCCGAAGAGGTGCCCTCAATATACTCCTACTATGGCCCTTATATTCCTTCGGAGGATCTTTAATCTTTAACAAGGGTCCCGGGGTCCCCGAACCCAAGGGAAAAACCTTACGGCTCCAGGGTAGAATCCCATGAGAAACCCGAAATCCCAAACCCTGGAACCCCGACAAGGCCGAGGCCTTCGACAGAAGAAAACAGACTTTGGGGTTGAAATTCATCTCGGTGGCCTGATTTTTAAAATGTTCCTAAGCAAGATCCCCCCCCCTCAACCCCTAAGGCCCTAGGAGAACCCCCAAACCCTAAACCCTAAACCCTAAACCCTCCACCCTCAACCCTGCACACCCAAAGAGGAAAAATGGAGACATGGCCCCAGGGCCGACCCAGCTAAGGAAGCCCAGCGTCTTCAGGGTCCACTTTGAGCCAGGGCAGTCCGGTCTCCTCGTAACTTGGGGTAGGGAGGGGTTTTGCGGTTTTGGGGTTTGGGGGTTTAGGGTTTAGGGGTTTCGGGGTTTAGGGTTTGGGGTGGGGTTCAGGGTTTAAGGGTGTAGGGTTTAGAGTTAGGGCTTGGGGTTTTGGGGGTAGGGTTCGGGGTTGAGGGGAATCCTCGATCTCGACGCACAGCACCGCGTTCAGTGGGCCTGGAGCTTAAGATCTCAGGGGCGTTTGCTGCTTCGGGGGCTTTGAGGGCTTGAGTTTGCTGAGGCCCTGCACCTCAGTCTGCACGCTTGGACCAGGGATTTGGGCTTAGGGGTTTGGGGCAACAGGTCTGGGGTCTGGAAGCATTCATGTTGCCCAACCTCCAATCAGTCGCACTTCACCGGGACGGTGGAAACTTTCCAGGCACCCAGGTCTGAAATCTGTCACTCAGCCGTCTTCGGTTCGGCACATAGGCAACTCTCGAAAAGACGACCCCTTTTGAAGTTCCTCTTGCACTAGAACTTCGTGTACCCAAGGAGACCAAATTCAGATAGCCAACAGAAGCATTGACTTCTCAGCCCTCAACCCTAAACCCTGAATCCTAAACCCGAAACCCGAAACCCCAAACCCTAAACCCGAAACCCGAAACCCCAAACCCTAAACCCTAAACTAACCCTATACCCTAACCCCTAAACCCTAAACCAGCCTCCAGGGCCCGCCCCGCGCGCAAGCTCCCGCAGTGCCCGCAGCGAGGCGCAGGGCGGGTCAGGGTCGCCTGATTTTTTTTGGGGGGAGAGTTCAGGGTTTAGGGTTTCGAGTTCATATAAGGTTTGGGGTTTCGGGTTTCGGGTTTAGGGATTAAGGCTGAGGCGCCTTTTGGGGAGGCACTTGAGACTTGTTGGGGCAGGGGGGGGGGGGGATCATAACAGGGTCTTATACGGGTTCAAAAGGGTTTATCAGGGTTTTATATGAGGCTTAGCTGTTAGTCTTGAGAGTTTGGGGTGCAGGGTTTAGGCTTTTGCGTTCATGTTTGTTTGGGCCTTTAGGGGTTTGTGGTCTTGTCTTGCTGTACCCTAAACACTAAACCCTAAACCCTACACCGCGGAACCTAATCAAATTAAGTCACTTTTTGCTGTGGACATGGGGGGGGAGAGAAACATGGTGAACTGGACTTAAGTTGCATAACGGCAGCCCTGCTTGGGGTGTTCTTCCCAAAAGAGCCCACTGCCCCTCAATTCAGGAATATATACCTTAAATCATTCTAGGGATCCTTCGATAATCTAAGGTATATTCTTTAACTAGGGGTAAGGGAGGGTTTAGGGTTTAGGGTTTAGGGTTTAGGGTTTAGGGTTTAGGGTTTAGGGTTTAGGGTTTAGGGTTTAGGGCTTAGGGCTTAGGGTTTAGGGTTTATATAGGGTTTAGGGTTTAGGGTTAAGAGTTTAGGGTTTGGGGTTTGTGCGTGTGCGGTCAAAGCATCAAGCGTACGCTCAAATTCGGTCTGCAAAGCGTCTTAGCGCTCTTCGCTGGAGAAGCTGAAAGTAGGCCATTGGAATGACCCCTTAACCCTTCCCCTGCGGAAGTAGCCCGAGCTCTGCTCACAGGCTAAGGCCGCCAAATTGGCAGCAACCTGAACAAGATCTTTATGTGGCCCTGTACGTAGGCAACCAACTGGCAGGTCTTCAACCGTGGCACGCTGGTTTAACATGGCCTGCATAAAACCTTGCAAAGCATCCTGTACTGCCTCGTTGTCTTCAGGTTTGATCTCGCAAAGTCGGGCTAGCTCCGCTGCGCCCGTGACTATACAACTCGGCCTCTCAGGTTGATCGTCAAGGACGATCGGGGGTTGCAGAGTGGCCCACCATGGTCTCGGACCTTGCACTCGGACAGCTGGTCTCCAGCTGTGTTCTGCAGGTGTCAATTCACAACTTGCAGTGCCGATGTCCGAACCTATGTAAGCTGCGAGGCATTCGCGTGACCTCCGGAGATGTTCTCGAAGTCTAAATTGCCCCCAGAAATTTTGAAGGCAAACCTGGCAAACTGTACCATGGGCCATTTGAGTGGCCATGGATGGTATCCCATGGTGTTTGCTAACATGCGACGCCAAGGCAGCTGCTCCATGAAAAGCGTGGTTGCAATAAGGGCATTGCTTGGTCTTGTCCGGCGCAACGTCTTTGAGACAAAACTCGAAGATGCCCCGGCTCAGATCTTCCTTCTTTTCAGCGAGTCGGTGCAAATGCTCCTCCCTGCTTCTCCATCTTTCCCTTTTTTTCTTCTGCTTGAAGGTCTTGGTGACAGCTTGCATTTTCGCTGGATCCAAATCCGTAGCAACACAGTCAGTCGTTGGCAGGAGGGAATTTTTCAGCATCGTGTGCTTCTTTTCCCCATTTTCCTTGTCCCACGAGGCTGTTGAGGAAGCTGCCTCCTTGTTGTTTGACCCATGCCAAGCGTTGGACTATGTCGTGAGTCCGAAGCTCTTCCGGAGACAGGACGCCCAAACAATTGCAGATCTGGCTGTCGGTCAGACTTCGCGATGAGAATCCAGTGATAGGCCGAAAGACTCGTCTGTAGAATTCCATCACCGAAGCCTGATATAACTGTGCCATCTGATGTTGATGCATCTCCCAAGTTCCAGCTGCATACATCATCCGTGACAATACGAGGGCATCAAGCAGCTCCAGTTTTTCTTTTGCAGTGAGATGCTCATTGTGCAGGAGTCGCTTGTAAGCCTGAAAGGCCTGTCTGGCTAGGCCTCTCCTGTATTTCAGATCGTGCACATCGCTCCCTTCCCAACTGGCCATGGCACCAAGATGAAGGTACTTGTCCGTGATGTGCACTTCTTGTGGATTTTCTCCTGCAACTTCGACCCAGCATTTTGAATCATGTTCACACAGCCACTTTGTCTTGGCCTTTTTGCTTCCCTCTCCTCTAAAAGCCAGCACGAGCTCCGTCTTGCCACGAGCCCAGTTCAAGCGAATGCCAATTTCTTTGAGGCATTTGGAAGCCAAGGAAAGGGTTTTGGTGGCATTGTCAACCAGGTCATCTGCTCTGTCCGCCTTCACCGGTATTGCGACATCATCCATCCAACTCGGTGTAGGTGCCACTGATGTGCAGTTGTATGCTGGAGGAAGCTGCACATCGAGTCCATGTTGTTGTAGCTGCGACTGTAGCTTTTCCATGAAGATTGAGAAGGTGTATTGAAAAAGCAAATCGGCTAGCGGAGCTCCTGGCATCGTTCCTGTCTTCGTCTGGAAGATATGTTGACCATTAGGCCCAATGGAAAACCAGGTACGATCCATGGTGGCCAGAACCATTCGTCGTACTGGTAGAGGAACTTGGGCTGCGGCAAGCAATCCAGGTCCCATTGCCGTTGCGAGGAATTGCACCTGATCATGTTGGTCTTCGAAAAGGGTTTCTGCCAGGGACTGGATCTGCTGTGCTGGGCATTCTTTTTCATTTCCGGTGAAAAATTGCCGGATCGTGGCATAGAAAGCCGCTTTGCCGTCTAAGAAAGCAAATCCTCCGCTGGCATGTCTGTCCCGAAGATCTCGAAGGAAGCTTTTGACTTGAAGAATCGGAACATGAAGGGGGAAGTCAGGCACACTTCCACCTTGCCCAGGCTGCATTCGTTGTCGGTATCCTTGAATCAAGCTGTCGCGAGTTGAGCTGGCGATCCCTTTTGCCGCCGACTCCTGTAAAAGGATTGCGCGCCAGCCAGCGAGGTCTTGGGGTGGTTTGTTGGGTTTTGGAATGACAGCTGTTTGTCCGCCTCTCCAAGCTGTCGGGCACTGTGCCCTTACCGCCATTTTGACAGCCAGTGGATGGTATTGCACCGCAGCTTCCCTTGCGGCACCAGCAAAGGCTTCAGGTGGTATTCCAGAAGGTCCTGGTGCTCTTTTCGTCTTCAGGGATCCAAAAGCTTTGGAAAGGCTTGCGAAGGTGACCATCTCCTCGCCATTGATATTCGTGGAAGTGGTACATCTGGCTGTCTCAAGTTCTGCCGTGTTGACGCAGAGCTCGCCGCGTTCATCCTTCGCAAAATGCCGCCCAAGTTCCAGATTCGCGTCTTGCACCACATGTCCATTACGGTCGAGGATTGCAGGCGCCATGGGTGGTGCCCTGTATTTTCGCCCCGTCTTCAATACGCCACGCAACAGTCTGCTCATAGCTTCTGGACCCTCCTTTCTGGCATCCTGAAAAACAATTCTTGTGTATTCTGCACTGTCTTTTTTTGCAGACTGTTGATACAGTTTTGTCATGGTCTGTATGCCTTTGGCACACCTTGCTGTCAGTACTCGAAGATTGTGACATCGTCTTTTTGCTCCCAGCACTTCTTCTCCATGATCTCTCCAGCATTGAAGGCATGCCTGTAGCATTTGAAGTCGATGAATTCGCTTCGCCCTATGTTGGATTCTTCGCCATGTTCTTCGTTCCCTGACCAGCTGCCATGTGCGATCTGATACTTGTGGTTGTCGGGGACGTTCTGCACATACCGGAAAGAACTCGGCCAGCTTGATTTTCAAATGGTCAGTCAGCATCCGCTCGTGGTCGTCTACATGTGTCTCCCATGGAATGGGCGGAGTGGTTGCATGGATCTGCTTGAGCTGTTGTCGTCCAGCTGGTGTCCTCATTGCCGCCACATCAAATCTTTGCTTCGGTTTCCTCTGTCGAAAAACTTCGCTTTTCCATGCAACCTTGGCGAGCAGGGGGCGATGGTCTCCATCATGTAGGTCCCAGAAATTTGGGACGGCTCCGACAGTGGTGAAGCTGGACTTGAAGATATTCGGCAGTAGGATGTAATCCAAGCAAGCATCTTTGCCCTGAGGGCTGGTCCATGTAACAATGCGACAGCCACTTGAATCTTGTAATTCCGTTGCAATTAGATCTTGTGCATCTGCAAGCTGACACATGCACCTGGCCGCTGTTCCTTCTGCTGCTTCATAATTTGGTCTTTCCGCCCACTGTTTAAAGCGAGCATTTGCGTCAACCAAAAGGATGGGCAAGCAAGCAGGCGGTGCTCGTCGAACTGTGCTCTCCAGGTGTTTCCACCATTGTTGAATTTCTGCTTTGGGAGCAGCATCATGAGGGGAATGGCCACTGATGATGTAAAATTGTTGACTGCCAATTTTTGCCGTAATCGCCAGCATTCTTGGCTCAGCACAGACGATCGCAAAGTTGCCCTCATCCCATCCATCTTGAGCAGTGCTTCCATTGGCGAGTCTTATGGTCTTGTGAAGCCAGATCTGACACCCCAGTCTTCCTTCTTCGCAAGGACTGCTGATGACATGGTAATGTTCTGTCTGGGACCTTCCAATGGTCTTCGACCTGGCTTCCTGGATGCCAACCAAAGCAACTTGGTTTGCATGGAAGTGTCCATCGAGTAGTTGTTGTTGCGCCAATGGCCTTGCCGAGAGGGTATTGTACGTGACGATGTTCATCTGGAAGGTAACAGTCTCCTCCGGGTCGTCCTCCTTGCTGATTTTTTGCCCCTCTTTCTGGAAATGGTCTTTGTGGATCGCAAGACGCCCTCCGTCATCGTGAAGGTTGCCATGTTCATCAATTTTGGGCACGGTGCAACCAATTTCGCCGGTCATCCATACCCATTCCAGGATGTGTTCTTTCCATGCCTGATACAAGCCATGCTTCTCCGGAGGATGTGTGCTTTGCATCTTATCTCTGGCTTGATTGGCCAGTGTGTTGACCAGCTCGTTCCAGGGATCGCCTTGATGTGCAGCCACATAGGAAAAGCAGACCTCGCTACCATTGGTTTCGTGGAAGTGCATCAAGCTGGCAATTGATTGGTGCACTCCATCCAAATTTTTTCCTGCAAAGGTCCCATCTGCAATGCCAGCTGCCGAGGTGCAGTCATAACAGATAGCAGCCTTTCCTGGCATGGTGGCAACCACTGCCAACGCATGCAGCATGCCAGTAAGTTCTGGCAAGAAAGCATCGTTGACCTCCTTGTCGCACGTCATGGGTCCCCCATTGACTTCGAGGCATGCTGACATGTATCCAGCCCAATACCATGTATCTCCATGCAGTGCAATAACCGCCAGGGCCCATCCCGCCGATCTTGCTTTGCCTGCGGTTTCCGGAGCGAAAGATCCGTCAACATAGATTTGAACTGCTTGGGGTGTCCAATGGTCCGGCAAGGTAGGCATGTAGCGCAAGGCTTTGGCCGTTGCGGGGTGTAACCCTCGAAGCTCCTGCCAATTTTTTTCCATTTTGCAGTATTGGTAGGGTTCAAAGATGCAGTCATTCATTGCCGGAACATATCCCAGGTGTACGACGTTGTGGACGCTTGACTTCTCCGAACTGAGACATTCGGCCTTCTTTTCAGCATGGTCGTCCCGAGCATTTGTCTGAGGAATCCGTCTTCTGCCAAAAGGGGTGGCGATTGTCTGATCATACTTGACGTCAGTTGCAGTACCTGCTTTGTCCTTTGATATATGCCGTCGCAGCATGGCATGTGTCTGCAGGAGGGCATTTTCGTCTGGATGTGCGCCACGGTAAATCCGGAGAACAGCTCCATTTGCCACCCGCGCAATTCGCATAAAGTTGGCGCCAATGGGGCATGGCAGTCCCATCAGAGTGGCAGGGTGCGCCGGCACAATTGCAGAAAAGTAATGTCCAGCAAATCCAGGTGCATGCAGGGCAACCGTTGGAAGATGTTGCAGGTTGTCGGGGTGCGCAATAAACACACTGGCTTGCCATGACATTACATCCGTATCTACAACCTGGACGTTCTGGCTGTTGAAGGGCATTTGCGATAACACGTCTTGTACCTGGTCTGTCGTGGCTGGTAGTCTTCCTGTCACCCATAGCATCCAGGTTCCACGCAGTTCGTCCAGTATGTAGACCGGCACGGAGACTTCGTGCTCCCTACCGAGTGTCTGCAGTCGATTGTTGATCTGTGTGCGAAAGAAATTTTGCAGACCATGTTGTGTTCCCCTTCCATTGCCAGCATGATATACATGAGGTGGAACAGTTTCAAATCTTGGCATGTCCAACGGTACAGCCAATGAAGAAAAGTCTGGCCAATATTGCAGCAGGTGTGTGATGGGTCCAGGGAAAGGTCTTCCAGGTCTTACATCTTCTCTGCCGATCTGAATGACATCTCCATTTCGCAGTGCTCGATAGAACATGTGCACAGCAATGCCATTGACGTAGACTTCCCATCTGTCCCTCAGCAGGCTTTGCGTGACCGTCTCTGCAGGCAATGTCCTTGGCGTCACTCCTCTGCCATAAATTCTGCCACCAGCGTTTCTTTCATCCACAATGACATGTATTCGTCCATTATTGGGCACAACCAGGAGTGGAACTTCGACATGATGTTGTTGTCCTCCAGTGAGAACCCTTGCAATTCTGACCTGACTTTGAGCTGGTATATTGCCGGCCAGTGCTCCTTGTGTAATGACATTGGCCAATGCATTGCCGATGTCTTCTCGATCACCATTCTGCATGGGCATGTCATACACGTTGTCTCCATGTACGAGGAAGGCTGAAAAGGTCAGTGTTCTCCTGTTCCTGGCACGCATGGTCGTGGTGGTGCTCGTCGTCCCATCTTCGTCGCAAGGCCTGGTTGCATGCTCTGGTTGAGGATTCGCAATTGCATGTCGAAGCTCATCCTCAGCAAACTCCAGAGTAACATGTTGTATCTCGACAATGTTCATGAGGAATTGAACTTCCAGCGGTCCATTGGCCGTGCTGATTTTTAGCCGACCTGCTTCATATGCCTGCAGAATTTCGTAACCAGCATTTCCTTCATGCTCGTGTATCTGCTGAAGAACTTCACGCATGGGAATGCCCTCGTGCGCAGCATAAACTCGCACCTTTCCACCGCATGGTCGCATGTCAATGGGCACGACGATTTCATCTCTGGGTCTCTCCCTTTCAGTCAGAGTGATTTGTGGAACAGGTAATCCTGGTAAAGGCTTCGTAATAATCTGCACCATCCTGATTGGATGGTCAGCTGAGTTGACAGCGTCGGCAACAATTTCTGCCAAGGCCCATCCAGGTTCTTTGATCCGGTGTCTCACATGCCTCGGCAGGTCAAAGATGGTGAATGGGGTTCGCTGTGTCTTGGGGTCCCGCTTGCTCTCTTGTAAAATCGCCCACGGAAAACGATGCACATGTGTGTAATAGATCGGGGCGGCCGCCAGGTATTCCGGCTGAAGGTCCAGTTCTCTAGCAAGCATTATCGAAAATTCACTGGGCCCACCATGTTTCATCCAGGAGAGTGGCCTTCGCAGGTGTGGAACAGCTTTCATCGTTCCATTCGCCTGTTGTCGTTGTCGTCCAATGTCCCATGCACTGTACTCGTCAGCAAATCGAACACTGGGTTTGATCGCATGTGGTTGTCTATGCCATGCTCCTCCTGCAGGGTGATTCTGTCCAAGCATAGCATCGTCAGCCCCTGTTGCATCCCATATACAGGCGGCTTCGTCCTCCCATCGGGTCAGCAAAATGCTGTCATGGAAGCGTATTCTTTGAAAAAGGAAATCCTCGTCATCATCATCTTCTGTAACGATGCGAGGATCTCGCCAGAATGTGTGCACTGGATCACATGCACATCCGTGTAGAGCAACTTCAAACGCCAGCTGAATCCCGCATAGCTGGGCGTGCCAGTTGTCAATGTAGTCTGCCGCTGCCTGGATACTGTGCTTCCAGGTGGGCTGTTGCCTGAGCAGTCCCGACCGGCTCGTACTCAGGCCTTGCGAGGGGGCGTCTGGTCTGTCGCCGCCTTCTTTCCTTCCGGTGTCGCCAGATCCACAACACCATCCACCTCTTTGCTTCTCCTCCTCCGTGGCGTTCTTTCTCGATCGCTCTTGTGCATCTCTTCGGCTTCGGCTTTGCTTTTCTGCATCAGCGCTGTGATCTGTGCTGTCTGTGCAGTAATTTGATCCTGTTGATCTTGATGCCTCTGCCGTAGTTCTGCTTCTTCCTCCACCAATTCCGACATGTGTGCATCTGCATCCTCCAGCATCTGCTCCTCGGTCAACTCCACCTCTGTATCCTCCGCCGCTTTCTTTAGGGCCAAAGATGCTGCTGACAGGGTCTGCGTCCATGTCTGCTCTGCCTGGTGGAAAGCTTTGATCGTCTCCAATCT